GTCCGTAGTATTCTCTTTATAAATAATTCAAACATTGTCTGAGAGGCTCCCTGACCATTGAGCTGCAAGGTTGCAATTTTGAGTACTTGGCTAAACTCGAAGCATTGTGCGGCCAGGCGTGCGGACTGTGGGGGCAAGGGGCAGGGGGGAAATACGGCATGGAATATAGCATGAGGCTGGAGCGTTTTGGTTGAGACAGATACAAAGAAGACATTTTGGAGCTGAAGTTTCTTTTCCTATTTTCAGATTTAACATAAGCAAAAAATAATCTTGCAAAGGCAGACTAGAAGTCAAACTTTTCTGCTTACATCAGGCTGTCTAAACTTTTAAGCTTTTATGTGTCCTTTTGTGACACCCACTGCAAAGTGGGTAGCACTTTTTGCTTACCTCTGCAGTATAACATACTTGTTTCACCTTTCCGGGGACAACACAGGTTCTCAAGTGAGTGGAAAATAAAAAAGACATCTGAGAGGAAGCAAATCTTTCTGTCTGGAGCTGAGGAGCATTCAGTCTTTGTGTTTAGAGAATATAAATGTCTTACAGTCCCACGCATGTGTTGCAAAATCTGTCTGAAAAAGAATCCTGAAAGCACAACCTTTCCTCACATGTACATTTTTCGGTTGTTTAAAATGGTAACATACTGGAGTGGTGCACAAATGTGTAGAAATGGAAAACAACGGGAGATAAATTTTATATTCCCTGTGCCTGCAGAAATGAAGACATTAGCAGAGTGACACCTAAATACTGCAACATAGAGATCTCACAGGGACATGAGAGCTAGTTAGCCTTGCTTCTGCTGAGATAAGTGCCAAATGTTATTATTTTGATGGTCAATTTTCCTGAAGGCTTAATGAACATTTTTACACCTCAGCCTCTGTGTCTGCAGGATGCCACAGTGAATGGTAGTAATTGGAGCCTGGCTGGGCATGAGAAAACCCACGTACGCCGCATCCCTCCACGGACACTCTTTCTCTGTGAGCACGCTGATGAGTGTTACTTTACGTGTTTGGATTTTCCCCTCCTCTTCAGAGCCTGAGTGGTACAGACAAGCGGTGTAATGCAGAGGAAAAAGATGTCAGACTTTTCCAGCCTAAGAAACAGCTGCACGGCCACAAGGCTTTTAAAAGGCATGGATGCCCCACAATTTTTAGCCCATGAAGAAGCTGTTATTGCATAACAAGGAAATTACCTTAATTAACAGAAAAGTAAAAGCAGTCAGATATGTACTTCAATGATGCCTTAGCTATGCCATATCTTTCTAATTAGTTACATAGACTAAAATATGCTGGAACAAGATGTGCATCATATACATGTTAGGAAAGAGAGAATGCAGGGGTGTGGGGGGACCCCAGCACATATGTCTGTGTGCATGTATATGGCCCCGCTCAAGGGAGTAGGCAGCTGCTCTGCAAGGCACTGTATGTGTAGTGAGGGAAACGAGAGCGATGGGCCCAGTAAAGATGAGCCAGGAGTTTCAGCTGCAAGAGCTCTGCAGTGATATGGCCTTGCTGTATGATTTCTCAAATTACTTCAGCCAACAGGTGGAAGAAATCAGGAATGAAGCTGGAGTCCCAGCTGGCTTCTGGCTGTGGAAACGTGCCCAGTGACTGGCTGCAGAAGCTCTTCTCCTAACAGGTCCCTCCTCTGGGAGGGTGTGAGCAAGGTGGTATCTCACTCACCTTCTCCCATCACAGAAAACACACGATGGGAGGGAATGAAGAAGAGGGAGACAGACTCTTTCTGGTTGTGCCTGCTGACAGAGCAAGAGGCAACAGGTACAAATTAAATTCCATTTGAGCACAGGAAATTATTTTTTTTATATGAGGGTGGTCAAACGCTGGAACAGGTTGCTCAGAGTAGTAGTAGAGTCTTTTTTTGTGGATATTCAAAATGTGATTGGACATGGCCCTGAGCAATCTTCTGTAGGTGACCCAGCTCTGAGCCAGGAATTGGACTAGACAATCTCCAGAGGTGCCTTCTCAGCTCAGACATACTGTGATACTGCGTGGTCATATTGTTCTCTGGAAAGATATATGGGCAAAAGACTGCCTTAATCTCCAGGTAGTGTGAAACACTTCACCAATTCAAATTGTTACAATTTTTGCAGATTTAAGTATGCTCAGACTTTAGCTGTTTGGTTTTTCATTTAGGAGTGCAAGGCCTTTGATTTTGCAGGAGTATTCTGCTGTCTAGCTGCATTTTTTTTTGGATTAAGCCTGTAAATTCAGTAGCGTGTAGCAGCTGCCATTTTAAGCCAGTTCTCCATGAATGGTAAAAGCATTTGACCTCAGGGTTCATTTGGTCCTGTGGATAAAAAATTGCATAAAGCCATTGAATGCTGTCAGATTTTGAGTCAGCCAGCACTGAAAACAATGCTATTATTTTGAGCACGTGTAGGTGTGCAATTAGTTCATACTACTCCAGCCCACCCTTCCTGGCCACAGCAGCAACCCTCAGTCAAGCTCTTTGCCATGAAAGAACATTGCAAGGTAGGTACAGTGAAACATCACATAAAACCAAAGAGCTTTTACGTGTATATTCTTGCAGGAAAACAGAAGAACCTACGAGCCAATAGTCCCATTCAGAACCAGCACAGCATAGAAAATGCATGAAAAGACTCAATATAGGAACTATATTCTCTCCCTATTGCTGATAGATAGATATATCTAGTTATTGAAATACCTACATGTGTATGTAAATGCTATAGTTTATTGGTTTGATTCTTCGCAAAGACCAAATATAATTTTTAGAGGATTTTACAGGATAGGGCTAAGTTTAAATTGTTTTTATGTCAAGAAATGTATCTTTCATTTCCTTTTCATCCCTTTCCTGACAGTTTAGTCAAGACAATTTTTTTCCCTGAGGACTAGCTTTGACTTGGGAAGGTAGTGCTATTTTACTTGGTGTTAGCTAACTCATGGTAAGAGGAGGTCAACTGCAGAAGGCTAAATCCACACAGTTTTCTCTTCCACCATAATCTGTTTCACAAGCCAAAATAACAAACTTAAAGCTTACTTATAAAATACTAAGTACATAGGTGATTTCCCTGGTGTCACTAGGAATTCTAGAGACTAGACCTAACACAGTCGGCTCTAGATATGGCCACTCTCTGATGCTTTTGGGGAAAGGTGAAGAAACTGATTAAGAAACAGCTTTCACTTAGATGCACAGAAACAGACACATTCTCGTTCTGTAAAAAATAATGTCCTGTTTCCCTGGCTACTGGAAAGCAATAAGTAGAGAAGCATATTTTTAAAACTATGCAAAAGATAACTAATGAAACAAAGTGCTCCGGTTAATTCTTTATTTTCAACATCAAATACATTGATAAAAATCTTGCACCAATCAGGTAGCCTACCAGATTTTTCATTTAGACTTTTTTAAAACTTTTTTAGGTGCAAAACAAAGGAAAAAAATCTCACCAAAACAAAGACATCAATAATTTTATATGCATCAGTAAAAGAACAGAATACTTCAACAAATACATTATGGCAGCTGAGTCTATACCAAAGAAAGGATTTTCCATTGACAGACTACATAGTGCACACAAAAGCATTAGTTTTATAGTATATACAATAAGGTGATACATAAAGTGGCTTGTTAATGCAAGTCTCATGACCAGCAGTCTATCCCTTCATTTTCTGATGGGCACTTTCTGAAGAAACAGACTTCTAATTATAGGCACACAGGAGTACAGAGCATACTAATTTGCAAGATGGCAGCATATACATTTTTTTTAAATTTTTTTTGTTTGTTTCTTTAGGCACATTTGAATGCAAAAAATTATATATTTTTTTTTTAGTTTTTTTTTAACACAGTGCAAAACCAAATACCCTTATGGGCAACAATCACTTTGAAAACAACTTCTGGGATATAAAGCTATCTACATTTGAAAGATGAAAGGGAATTGTGAGTAGAAAGGGTGGAACATTAATAGTAGGGAAATATTAATTTAAAATTCTCTGATCAATTTGAGATTATGCTATAGTTGCAGGTGACAGCAAAGACTGGCTTGTATTACAATACCATCGTTAACATGACCCTTCTTTTACATGTGTTGAATTTCTATCTGTAAAGCTATATTACAGCAATAGATAGCATCACAAATAGTCATCTCTTCATTGAAAGTAAGAAATACACTTCACATAAGTTCAGCTGTAAATACCTTATATACAAAACCCCATTACCTTTAGGTTACATTCAAAATTTAAAGCAGGATATTATATACACAAGAGAGGCTTGCTGTGTTCCTACCAAGGCCTGTGATAAGACTAAGGACCTAGTGAGGCAGAATTTTTACTTTGCTGGTAGTTTATTTAATTTTAAACATTTGGCACAACTCTCAAGGAATCAATCAGCATCAATCGGAATGGATGGAGGCTCCAATACAAACCCTGGCTTGGATGAAGGGAGTGGCTTGGGTTTTCTTTTGTTTTCTCTTTTTACAATTTAAAAATGGTAAATGTTAGGTACTAGTGACCTGCTGACAGTCCTTGCAATATCCTTAGGAGCTTAGTTCAGATATTTCTATAATTATATTTTTAAATTATTAAACCCCTCAGTGTACAGAAGGAGAAAAATCATCAGATGTCACTGAAACATCATAATAAATTTACCACAAACACACACCAAGAAACTCTCATTAAATTATTCTAGCCCAGTACAAATTGTACTGCCCCAACTGGGAATTTTACCTGAGACAAAGTCTACAACATTGAGACATGGCTCGAACCACTACAAACCAAAATAGCTTTCACATAATGTTGAAAATTCAGACACCACTAAGTGCCACACGTCACCCTATCTCCTCTGCTGTCTCCCAAGCTTTTTGTAATAATTCAGTAACAACCATATTCTCAAGCAAAGCAAGTTGATCTGGTCTATTTCTGTTTGGCTTGTGCTGGTATTACATTGCCTATGTTTATAGGGGGTTTTTTGGTTTTTTTGGTTTTTTTGGTTTTTTTGGTTTTTTTGGTTTTTTTGGTTTTTTTGGTTTTTTTTTAAAAATCCACATATAAACATTATAAAATAATTCTTTCATTAGCTGTCCAGAGACATCACTATGAAGGTTTTGGTAAAAGCATAATTAGCTGCCATGAATAGTTTTCTTTCATTATTTTTTTTTACATGCTATATATTTTTTTTTAATATCCAGCACCAGGTATTCAGGTAGTACTGGTTTGTCAGCTGCAAATATAAAGTATATATGTATATATATATACACACACATAAAATAGCATTCTGTGAAATAAAAATTACCAAATGTCAGGCACAATTGTTTGCATACACGAGAGCATAATTCAAAATTACATCATATGAAAAAGTTGCCATTTTTGTATCATAGACTTTGTTTAATCAATTGAATAGCTACATTCAGCTGTCTGATATGTGGACAATCATCTTTATAGATAACTATGGGAAAGTAACTATATTCATTAAGGTGCTGCTTCAGTTAAAATCTCATGAACAAGTTAATGACACAGATTCTAAAACTGACCCAAGGTAAATGACTGTATTATTGGGAACCACTGCTTTTCTTTCTTGGGTGCCCTCCACTGTTGTCACGACAAACATGGGAGTACTGGTTGAATCTAGATTACTTCTTTGCAAGGGCTGAGCCTAGGAAAGCATTTATAATTAAGACTGTGAGCTGACTGATTATTCCTTATGTTGCAAGACACATTACCATACCCTTCTGTCTGCTGCAAACCACTTCAAATCACACTTACTCAGCTTCACCAGGAAAATCTGTAGAATGTAGTGGTACTTGACCTATGTAAGTACCATCAGAAGCTGACCCTCTGTTGTGAATTGCTCTCCATGAACTACTTTTTTCCTTCTAGGCCAAATTTACACTTGAATCGATGTAATGAACTGTTCTGGGATGTAGGAAGGAAGGCATTAATTTAAAACAATTTGCCTTGCAGCTTATGAGCTTGATCTGTGTGTTCTGTCGTAGAGAACAGCAAGTTGCACGTACAGTATTTAAAGAGCAGCTCTAACACACACTGGGCTACAAGTGAATGATGATGGTATAAGCACATAAATGTAACTACAGGGATTCCTGTGCTCCATTCAGATCTTAGCATGCACTCACTCCAGAGCATTCACGATTTTTCTAACACATTTGAAAACCAGCTACTAAGGGAAACAAAACGTGCATTTTCTTTCAAGGCATTTAGGAGCCCTCCAAAAGCCCTTCGGTACTAAATTTGCACACACACATGCATACTCTTACTGAAAACACAAAAAGACAAATCCCCCAACACATTCAGAAAAAAAAACGACACTATAATATGCATCAATAAAAGGCCTATTAACTTACAGTGACTGCTTCACATGTTCAGGCTTGCAGAATTTTCGAGGAATCTTCTCAGAAGTAGGTAGCATCTAGCTTCTAAACTGCACGTATCCTTGGATATGTACATGAAACTGTTATAGACATCATTATGTACATTAACTAAAGAATCCTTGACTTGGAGCACAAACTCGTCCTATTCCTTGCTGCCTTCACGATTGCTACGTAACTCAATCTCACTGCACACAGACTCTGCTTGTGTGACAGGGAGCGTAATTAGACATAGGCACTCCTGTATGGCATTAGTTGCACTATATTTCCTATATTTAGTTGCTACAGGATATTCCAATCAGCATACTCTAACATAAAGGTTTCAGCTATAGCAGTAAAAGAAGCATCCCTGAACCCCTCTGTAGCACTGTGGCCAGCTGCTGTGGAGCAGCCTACACATGTGCTATGAAACGTCCTTACTGGCAGGGTGGTCGCTTCCAACCAGCTATTGGAATACTCCCTGGTCCGTGCTAACTCCCAAACTGCACCTGTAAAACAGAAGTGCAGGTAGCACAGGCAAAGTTCATCATTAGACTAATAAAATATCCCTGGCATATGTAATAATTGCATTCCAGTACCCAGCAACGTTCCCTGACACATTTAATTTTCTAGCATAGAGACAGTCAACAGCAGCACCAACTCCTACTTTGAATAGCACATATAGTAGGGATTTCTGCAGTCTCTCTCCTTCATGTCTTGCTGAAACTCTTGATGTCAGTGGACCTTTGGTTTATTTACAGTTGGTCTGAAGATTCTGACTAATCCTTACGAAAAACAGTTACACACATACATGGAGAAAGACAGATTGATCTTCCTGGACATGCAGTCCCAGCGTCTTCACCATGTCTGAGGCTCACTGCCCAGTTCTGGTGTCACGGGTGAGGTGGCTCGTAACAGTGACTTCTGAACGTGCCCCAACAAGAGCCAAAGAAAGCTGAGGCAATGCACAGCCTACTGCTCTGGCTGGGATGCCAGCCTGCCCACACATGATGAGGCCACACACTCTGTGGAAAAGGATGGGACCATCCCACTCTGCTGGGCCAGTCTTGCACTGGCATCCTCACCCCTTGGTTTATAGCACAACAAAGCAAAGGACAAGAGGAGGATTTTCATAAACTAGCGCTGGATCATATATGTGTTTGAAGACTTTTTTGAGGTTTCTTTTAAGACCTGATGATTTTTATAATCATCTGGCCTCATTTAAGAGTAATTGTCTGCATTATCTCTATTTGCCATGTTGTCCTTGAATACACACTGCCAAGCAACAGAATAATTTAGCTTTGCAGGAACAGACAAGATAGGATGCAATTCAGCTAGAGGACATGGTAAGGGGTCCTGAAAGTTTGGTCAGTATGATCTTCAGAGGGAGTTGTCTGCTGATGTAAGCCAGCAAGGTAAAATAGTATTATTCTCAGACAAGGATTCTTTTCTAATAAGAGGTGGGAATCTACCTAAACTACCAAGGCAGCCACTAGCACTGCAGTTTCACTATGGCTCACTAAGATGCCAATCAACTTTCCATTTACCCACCCAAAAAAGTAATCCAGACTCTCTACCAAACTGCTGCAAAGTTTCAAGCAAGTAAAACATTAGGCAAGCTCAGAATTTGAGGCAGTTATCAACAAAGATACCAATATGGTGGCATGGTTATTAATTTATAGTAAAATGAATGTTCAGTTTAGGTTAGGATTTACCCAACTTAAATGCAAAATTAAATAAAAACACTGCAAATTCCAAATCAAACTCGCCTGACAATCCTTGCTGGCTGTCCATAGCAATGACGTGTCTTCCGTTTAGGATAAGCAATCAATTTAGGCAAGTGCTTGACAAACACTCAAATGGAAAATGCAAATGACTGTTGTCATTGGAGTGTTTCCAGAGGCGGCACTATAGACAAAATGAAGCATGAGCTAGGTAGTACGCTGCTGGGTTTCTCATACCATCAAATAGGCTGACTTCTGTTTATATTGTATTCTGCATATTCTCCTCTTCTTTACTGTTGATATAAAAAGACTGCAAGGAATGAGATGAAGCAGATGCAGTCGTCAGCTGGCTCCGGTTTTCCTCTTCCATGGGTGCAGCACTCCTGGCTGCCGGGGCGTGCAGCCGGTGAGCGTCCAGCATCTCCAGCAGGAGATCGTAGAGTGGGACTACGTTTTTACACTTCATATTGTACAGGTGCTCCATTCCTTTGTTGCTGTGGGTTGTAACAAAACGACAGTTACTTTCCAAATATGCTATGGGGGAAAAAAAAAAAAAGCTATCAGCTAACATTTGTTAAGTTCATATAAATTCCACCTTGTATATAACACTAACTATATGTTCCTGCTATACTTAGCAGAATAAGGCACCTTCAAAGAACACTTCAGACTGCCCATGAGCAAGTTGCCTTCTAAAGGTGCCTCTTTTGCTCTCCTTTGCCTAAAAGGCAGCCTAGAGCACATGGACTTCTAATTTAGGTACTGTGACTAAGTAGATGGGATGACTCTTGTCTTTCCCATAATAAAATCTAAAATATCAGATTTTTTTCCTAGAAAATAACCCCAGCCAATTTGTTAGCAAATGTTGATGTGTAATAGTATCCATTCACAGAACTATGAAACTATGGAAAAAATAATTAACTTCACTGTGCATCTGGAACATCCTTAATTGTACAAATTCTTCTTAGGGGGGAAAAAAGGAAAGAAAAAACCAAAACAAAACAAACAAAAAAAAGATGATTAACATGAAGACAAAGAAACTGCAAAAAGACATAAGTGAAAAAACCACATACAAATACTCCTCAACTTTTTCCTGAAGACCTGTATATCAGCCCAGGAACTAAGGTCTGTATGGTTCAGCTTTAGTAGCTATGATGTGTTGTGTACTCTAATTTTAATTTTATTAACTGAAATAATTAATCTGTGTGACAACATTTCTTATTCCTTCATAAAAATAAGGTCTACACTGTATCTTTGTATAGACATGTCATGTTGTTAACACTCCAGCCCCTGAGCCACCACCTTAAGAGTTAATTACATTTGGGAGAATCATTGTGGCAGACAGACACCTCAGCTCCAGTTAGCAAAGGACAAAGTCCTCTAAATTGGGATTCAGTAGATTTACTCTTATCCTAACCCATAAAATACACATAATGAACCTAATCTCTTTTCTAAAGTGATTTGCAATCAAGCCACTTGTGAAAAGAGGCTACGTGAAAGTGGTAGTTTTATTAAATCTTATCTTATAGGAGATTAAAGTCTGCAGAACTAGGCTGCTGCTACATTAGTATTCTACTTCTTACCTTTCAAAAAGAATACAAGATACACATCACATTAAAAGTAGATACTGCTTACAGCACTATCAAAACATGAAGCAAAGGAAAAGAGAACTAGAAGAAACAAATGGGGAAAACATTTACTCCTTTCACATCATAATCCAATGTACTGTTTTCCACACATGTTCTATATATCTTTATGGAAAGCAGACATTTTTGGGTTTTTTTTTTTTTTTTTTTTTAAAAGCTCTACACCACTAACTGTGATGAACGACAGGCTGGATTATTCAATTTTTTGGGATTGGATTGTTTTTTTTTTTTTTTTTTTGTAACAGCTCTACACACATTTTGCACTCCCACCTGTAAAAGAAAACCGTGCATGTGCATTTGTGAAACCTCCCTTGCACGGGAGCGGTGCAGGAAGGCTGCCTGCCTGCTTGCTCTCACCTCATGTGTCGGATGTGAGAGAGGATGAGGAGGAGCTGAGCCAGCCGTCTGTGCTGCTGCTGCAGAGAAAGACCCGACTTCGCCATCAAGTGTATCAGAGTGTCTGTGATTTTGTCCAGAACGCGGTGAATATAATCTCTCTCTTCCAGAGATTTCAAGGTGCTGGAAAGAAAAGTGTACACACCTGGAGTAGGAAGGAGAAAGAAAACAAACAATCTGGAACTGAATAACATGTTATCATAAAACATGTAAACAAAATCAGGATTTGTTTACACATCCGTGCCTCAACAAAACCTTCCCAAGAAACAAGAGCCTTGAAAGGTGTGCTCCTTCACTTGCAAAGGTGACTCTCCTTTAAAAACAATGTCCAAAGCAATCTGTGTAAATTTAGCCATCTTACATTGCTTACTGCTGAGCAACCTGAAGATCTGGACCATAAGGAAATTTTACAGAGATCGTAACACCTTCAAACTCCCCTTCCAACAGCCCCCCTACATCTCCTACAAAACATTCTAACCCAAGTATAAGAGCTTTTGCCAGTAGTAATTCTTGGGTGCATGAAGCACATCAGTTTCCTAAATGGGAAATTCTAAACTCTTTTGCATGTTTTTATCTTGAATTTATTCTGGACAAGACCATACGGCCAATGTGAATCAGGTCACAGTAGCCCTGTGCTGCCAAAAGGCAGCTGTTGCGACCAGCAACAGCTTTTCAATCTTCTGGATTAAGCCAATAACTCTAAACAGGTTGTATTACTATAATCCAGTCCTGAGGCAGCAAAAGCTTAAGATGTATGTACAGTAATACTATCAAACTGGCTTGATCATGGTGAGTTCGTTGCCCTGTATCTGTAATGAGAGAAATACTGTGCTTTAGCCTTTCTGCATCAGCTCACAGAGCCAAGAAGACATTTGGACTTTGTCCTTGGAAAAAATTGGTTTCTGGAACTACTTTTCATTTTGCTTTTTTCTAAAGCTTCATATATAGCACAATATGCAATGCATATTGTGAATGTCCAATATTAAGAAAAAAAGACACACATAAACTAAGATGCACGCATAGACAGACACATATGCTCTAGCTTGTTTGCATTGTTTGGAGTATGGGGGCTGCACCATCAAATTTGAAGGTAAGAATGTTTTGCCATGCATCTGAGCAGTCAGGGAAATGGAGACTTTTTTACCATCTTCTTGGCACACTTCACATCATCTTGGTGGTTCAGGGGCCCGATACCCAGAACTACCGTAACCTGCAAGTAGGTTTTATGTCTTGGGGTGTTCTGCACTAAAAAGAAATAGTAATTTGTGTTTGTGAATTTCCGTATGTGTCTCTGAGAGACAGAGCAAGTGAGCGATACTGCTTTAAAAAAACAAAAGATAACTCAAACGAAGCACAACTTCTGAAAACCGTCAGTCAGAGCTCTTAATTTTGGTAATGAATATTGCTTCAAATTTGATATAGGTAGGTAGTATAATGGCCTCTTCTCAAAAAGCTTTTTATGATTATTGCTATTTTTACTGAAATGAATTCGTCAAAGAGAAATAGCTCCTAAGGTCTCTCTCAGCTGAATGACTCTTAACCACCCTCACATATGCCTACTGACAATACCAGGCTTTCTGGCTTAGCAAGATTTTTAAATATTTCTGACAGAACACAGTCCATTAGAAGGAAACATTAGTCTCATAAACCCATAGTGCCTCCAGAGCAGCTTGTGTCAGCCAGAGGATGCTATTGTGCCCTTGCAGCAATACCCCTTATTTTCATAACTTTGAAACCAGAAAAAGAAAAAAAGCTGTTAGGAGACATCGTTTCTCACCTAGGTCTAGTCCAGAAGCTATTAAAAAGTATAAATCAAAAAATTACACCCCTAAAAACATGGAGACTTCAGGCAATTGTGAGTCAATAACTGCCAAGAAAAATGGCATTTGTTTTTCCTTTCTGCCCCTATGGTGATTTCTCCTGCCCCAGGCCAATGACCAGAAATTTCCCCAGAAGAAATGTCAGCTATCCATCACACACATGCACACACAAGCATAGTTTGGAACAGGAGTGCAGAAAATTGTCTTAGCAAAGTGAAATTTAAGTCTCAAAGGTCTTTCTAAGCTCTGAAGCTGAAAGCAAGCCTAAATTGGATAGCTACCAGATCGTTTTCCAGCTCTTTCTGTAGGTCAGTATTGTAAAACATAAACAGAGCAAAAGCAGAGAAAGCACTGCTCTGCAAATAAGTCTATTGCTCCTTGCCCAGAGGGTCTCTTGGGGACGGCAGAGCTACCGTGTCAGCTGTTGGCATATAGTGATATAATTTTATATGTGTCACTATATGTAGTATTATATTTTTGCATATTACTGTAGAGGAGAACACCCTCTACTCTGCATCTTTGCTGCCACAATAAAGCCCAGTTTAAAATATCTTTACATTTAGTATTCAGGCTCACAAGGCAATACCCAAGGCTCTTCTTCCCCTTCCACCTCACCCCGTTGCTCTGGGTCTATAGCAAGTCAGGCTGAGCTACCAGCAAATTCAGCTCTGTACCATGCACTCGTGTAATCATCCAACCCCCGAAATAAAGAAATAAGCAAAGAGCACAATTTAACAGGAGCTGGAAATTCAGGAGAAAAGAATAACAAACAGTCACATGGAATGATGATGTATTTCAGCTTCATAAAATCAGCTAAATGTTTCCATCTCGATGGACTAACCAGCTAAGTAATTAGGCAGATCACCTGCTAAGGTTAGACCTGACCTACATCTTCATCTCCAAAACAAAAGCTTGTTGCTTTGCCACATAGCACTACTCCTCTTTTCACACTCAAAATTAAAACATCTGGCATCGTGTTGCCATTTCATGTTTCTAATACTTATGTTCCAGTATTAAGAAATAGCCCTTTATTACTGAGCTGAGTGTGTTTTTCAAAAATACAATTTTGTTTTTCAGTCAAAAGATTTATGGCTGCAGCTTTAGTGGGGCACCTTCTGGTTTGTTATTTAGTTCGAGACAATGCTGTCCTTGTTGTTACAGACATGCTGTCTCCTTGATATCTCAGGAAAAATTTGGAAGCAGTGTAAATGTATATTTTGCTTTATAAACAAAACCTTCCATCTTTTCCACATGCACTGAGAGCAAATAAAAAAATCACTTGCATTTTGCCCAAGACCACATGGAAAAGAAGTGTAAAGATATTAAACAGCCTTGAAAGTTGTTGGGGGGAAAAAAAAAAAAAAAAGAAGAAGAGAAAATAAATGTCCAACAAAAGCAATAAACAGCACTTCCTCATGTGAGGAGACTAACAGATGTTGATGGATTTAATAAAGAGATGTTTGTGTACACTCAGTGAATTAAATCCACACAAAGTGTTAGAATGCAAATGCGGACTGCTTTTAAATATGAAATGTAGCATAATTACTCCCATTTGTTTTATTAGTCCACTTGATTAAATAATTTTGAGATCAGCTGCTTTATTCATATGCATATATAATACAGATGGCGTAAGGGTCAAAAATTAATTGTGTTTTTATCTGCTGTTTCTTTATCAGAAGACTTGTGTATATTTACATGTGTAATTATAGAAAAAAAAAATCAAGTTAAGGGAGGCTTGGAGGTCACCTGGTTCAACCTCCTGCACAAATAGTGGTAACTTCAGGGTTAAGTCAAGCTACCCAGAGTTTTGTCCTACTGAGTTTTGGGTATCTCCTATGATGGAGATCCTACCATCTTTTTGGCCAACTTGTTCCAGTTCTTAGGAACTGGGAAGTATTTAGTATAGAACTCAGTACACTGGGAAGATTTTTTGTCTGTTCATCGGGATCTCCCTTGCTGTGGTTTGTCTCCAGTGCAGTTTGTCCTTTCCTCTTGCACCTCTGAGAAGAGTCTGGCCTTGGCTTCTCCATAGCCTGTTCATCAGCTATCTGAGGACTGCAGCTAGACCTTCCCTTAGCCTTCCCCTTTCTAGGATAAACAAACCCAACTCTCTCAGCCCCTCCTCATACATCATGTACGTCATGTGCTTCAGAGCACATATTTCATGTGTCCCCAAGACTTTATCTAGGGAAGGTGGCTGTATTCTGTGAAGCATCTCCAGAAGATATTTTAGAGTCTCTATGCCAGACACTTATACAACTATTACAAATACACCAAATTACGCTACTTATCTCTGTTAATGCAGTTTAGCCTCCTAATCTCGGTGGCTCCTAAAGGGCCTGACAGTCAGAAACTCATTCTTACCCCCTAGTAAACTCCTTAGACAGTTATAAAATTAGTTGGTTATAGGAATACAAAAACAAATACAAAATTAGTTACCTTTATGTATAAAGGCAACTATAAGCAATGCAGACATACATTCTGTACATCATACATGCATAAACATTCATTTTACAGTGTACCCAGATATACTGCAATAAGTACTGTATGCAAGCCTCAGTAATACACAATAGAGTGACACTCTACACAACAACATAAATTGCTTTTACGACGAACCTGTAACATCTCAACCTGAACCGTGCCCTCTGATCTATAACAGTCAAAAGTCTCATAAAAACACCAGCCTTCTGAGCAGCTATAAACTTTCATTTAACGCTAAAAAAAACCAAACCAACACCCAAAACCAGATCAGCTCTGGACTTCTGCCACACAGAACACCACTGATTCGAACCTGCTGAATATGAACCTTGAAGAAATGAAGATCTAGTATCTCCTGAACTCATCCAGTGTTCCCATCTCTCTTACGTGCAGAAGAAAATTTGCCTCTGTTTATCACTGACTTCACTTGTTATATTTTTTTTTTTACAATTTTTCCTTAGGGGAATCTTGAAAGAAAAAATCCCATTAACTAAGTGAGATGTGATTATGAAGGTTAGCTTGTGATGTCTGGCAGGGATTTGTCTAAATTTAGTTTTCTGGATCATTATTAAATACAGCAGTGGGTCAAAAACTCTCAACAGAGCAGCTTGATGTTTTCATGTTCAAGACATGAACATCTAATGTGTTTTCTTCAAACTTCGGTTTCTAGGTGGTTTTTTTTCTAATTCTAATTCAATATTTCTATAAATGCATATTCTAGATTTATTTGAGAAGGTAATTACAATCTGGAGGAGCATCACTTTTCAGGAAGAACTCTAGGAAATATTCTGTTGTAATTATCAGGACAATAAAAGGAAAATAAAATGTCACACTCTGGCATCCAAGATAAAAACAATAGCCCTTCATTCCCAATATGCCAGATGTCTGCCTCAGATGTCGCATTTTGGTAATTGGTAACAATCACAACAAAACCTGAACTACATTAATATCTCATAGAACATAAATGTAATATTCTATATATGTTTGTATAAATACATAACTTTGCTTGAACCTTTTTTTCCAGTAGATTAGGTCCAAGTTTTCATAAAGGAAATATTCTATATATGTTTGTATAAATACATAATTTTGCTTGAACCTTTTTTTCCAGTAGACTAGGTCCAAGTTTTCATAAAGGAAGTGTCTGATCAATAAAGCAAAATTTGCTGTGTTTAGAGTTAGCCTTTGGTGGGAATTACCTGAATTGGAATTTCATGCAACTTGGGCAAGTGATCTGTTACGCCACATGATAAAAAGAACATACAGCCCTCCACATATGTTTTGCCTGCCTATCTAGGCTGATACCATCTGTGAGCTCAAATACAACAGGAAAAGGGAAGAACAAGTGGGTAAATCCTCAGGGTTGGAAAACAAGTATCTCTAACAACTTAGCAGACAATTGAGTCTAAAACTTTTGTTTTGGTGCCTGTATTATTATTTTATGTAATTTAGATAATTTCCATGAGAATACCATAGGCCTCATTTCTGCATTTAGAAATTAATTATCTGGAGCTTTTTCTCATTTCAAACAGAAAAGGATGCTCTGGTGTGTCACCTGCCTCAACTTGAATTTGCTTATTTCAATCATGTTGTGCAGAATTCAGGTCAGCTAACCTTACATAATTATATCTCTACCTGTAGTCGTTATCTAGTCACCAATTTTTGACTTCAGAATGTGATTTACAGTCCAAAAATACTTATTTAATTAACTGTAAAGGAAGTGGAAGGTGATGGCATGAGTTTTAGATGCCTGTATTTTAATATAAACTAAGCTATTACAAACTCAACTACATTTTTTGCCATTATTTGCCTTTCATTTGCCATTGCTGGGAAAGGAAGGTGTAGGTTTACAACTAGAATGCCCTTTCGTGTGGCTCCAGCTACTTCAGTGTCTTGCAATCAGAACGTTAAGGCCTGTTTCGTGTGGCTCCAGCTACTTCAGTGTCTTGTAATCAGAACGTTAAGACCTGTGAGCACCTAGCTCAAAACACTGCCCTGATCGCCCTTCACATCAGCTGTACTCAGTGTATCAGCTACTTACTGCATTCATTTCCTGGGTCCCATCTACACCACTGAACAGGTTTCCTGGCTTCCATCCCTGCTGGGTGGCTCTGCCTGCATCTACGCTGACAGCCCCCTTTTGATTGCTGCTGTCTCAAAATGAAAACCTCATTGGCGACAAGAAGCAACATTGAACCACACGCAGAAGCAATCACAATTACCCAAGTGACAGCAAAGCACAGCACTTACCAGAGTTGAGCAGGATGATGGACTTAAGGCACACAAATTCCTCCCCTTGAAGGTTCATCATGCGAAACCGAGCAGCAGTAGCCAGCAGCATGTCAAAGATTTCCACCATCCCCTCTACGCATTTTCCTTGGTTCCTGTGTAAGTACCATCAAGGGGGAGATCATTCACAGCTGTAACCTGGTGGCAGCATGAGCTTTCCATCCTCCTGGATCATTCCCTTCTAATTTGATTTCATCAGCTCACTAGCTAATGAGTGAAGTCCTACCCTATGCTCATTTGGTGTATCCACGATTACAAAAGCATACTTCTCAGTATCACACATAAAATGAATAAATAATTAAACACTATATTCCCCCCCAAAATGTTGATTTCATAAATTCATCACCAAGGCATTACTGTGTTGGAAGATATGAGATTGACTCAACCAAACCTTTATATTGAGGAAAAGATTTGTTTAAAACTACCTTTTGATTGTTTTGTGTGTGTGTGTTCCGTTTGTGTTACTTTGTTTCCTCTTTCTTTGTTTTTTCCTTTAACTGAACTAGTCCCAGTTCTTTTCATTTCTCTCCAACATTTTGTACTTGTTTCTACCTGGCCTTGCAATCTGTAATGTTCCAACATGCCTCTCCCATTTTTGTATACCAACAAAATGCCCCCTTAAAGAATAACCTTATTCATGAGCTCAAGAAGGACTTATGAGGCTAAAATCTTCTACTAAAGAATAACCTTATTCATGAGCTCAAGAAGGACTTATGAGGCCAAGATCTTCTGGCTGAGTCTGATTGTAACTATCAGTGCACTCCATAAATCAGATTACTTTTTACATTACAGCATTAAACATTAAAGTTTGGGAAATCTCTGTGCTCGTCAGTAATGACAATTGTCCCTCTGCTCACAATACTAGGTATTCTCACTTGCTAACTTTGATCTTGCATATCCAACCTGCAGTTCAAGAATTAATGCAGATTCTAATTATTTTCTGTGAAAATTTAGTCTGCAGATTTTCAGGTGATGGATTTTTAGATAATTTACATTGCTACCTTTTACCAAAACCTACCTCCTTCCGATTTTATTAGGACTTTCTGAGTGAAATTTTAACATGCAAGAACTAATGAGTGATCAGATCTGTTTCAAAATACACTATTTTTAGATACGACTTTCATGAACAAAATTTTGAAGATCATTGCTACAGGAAAATACAAAAGAAATTTCAAATGATCAGAGGCTATTCCACTATGATCTGTAACTTGAACACATATTGAGCACCTTCTTATCTCACTGTGACAAAAACAATGCTGACTACTAACATAGACACCTTGCCTCAGTCCTGATACAGGCATGCTGTTGAGACCCTGTAGCTAATGTCTAAACCTACAGACCCTGATGAATCCTGCTTAGGCAGAACAAAGCTGTAAAAACTGAACTGGTCGGATTCAAGTATATTCCTCCTCGGTTTGGATATCAATAAAATAAACTAAAATAAAATCAGGCAGCCATGGCATGAGGATACAAACAATTAGTATTACCTCAAAATCTATTTTGCGTAATAAAATTCAAGTCTGACGGAAGTAAAATGAACATGAAATTTTACAATGGGACAAGTTCCACTGCTTCTGATACAATATTTTTGCCTATAACTAGAGAAATTTTAACTTTGCAAACATAGAGTTGAGCACAGTTTCAGAGGTCTAAAAGCCATTAATAGTTTTGCATTAACTTAAATAATTCTCCAATAAAGGTTATTTTAAGAATATACTATTTCAGGATTACTCAGAAAGTAAAAGATCATATGGCAAATGCCCCATATTTAAAAAAAAATAATAATAAAAAAAATCTTCATGTCTGGCTAAGACATTTACTTGCTTCCTAAACTCCACCAAACTTCTCCCAGCCAGTATTCCAAACAATTCAAAATATTAAACAGTCTGAAAAAAATTGCAAAATTTGGATAACCAAAACCAGAGTTTAAAAAGAAATAGTAAGTTAGTTGTAAAATGAGATCCTTTAAAATGCCTTATGGCGACTCATAAAATGGAAAAGACATTTGATAGCAAGTAATAATTCCCAGGTACTTTTTACCAAAATAGTTCAATGGACTGTAGATTATAAAATAAATATTCCAATCCAGATTCTCTTGCTGACAAGTACAACCTCTGGACAAAAATCTCTAGTCCATGTTCCTGAATTTCCATGTGTGTTTATTTCCCACAAACCAACCTTGTATGGTAGATGATAAATAAAATTATGTAGATTTAAGAGATTCTAAATACTTTCTAATCTCATCTGTTTTGCTATCTGCTATGTGTGAAATACCAGGCTATTCCATAAGAAAAAGAAGAATACATCTGTACATGAAGTATATTAGATGAAGTTCGATAACTAGCTTTAGGTATTCATGTGTACAAGAAACAATTTAGAAATTTCTGCTTTATTTTCAGAGTTAGGCAGCAGATCCAGCTCCACTGAAATCAGTGAGAACTGCAGGAGCTTAGTATTTTTGAAATGCAAGCTTCTAATCAAATGTTTTTATTATCTAGGCTACAACACCGATTTTCTTTGTTAACCAACAGAAACTATCTGAAATAGGAATCTCCAATTCTCCTGAATTGCCTTCTAACATTTTAACATAAGCTGATAGTATTATCACATCTTCACAGCTATATGTCCAGTTGATAGGAAGGCCTATCTAGGAAGGCCTAGATAACTTTCCTGGAGGACAAATTAAGCAATAGATTTGGAAATTATCCTTATACCACCATCATGTTGTTGTCTTTGTGTACTCTCAGCTTACTGAAAACAAAACAATAAAAACTTGTTTACTGCAAAACATCAGAGTGTAATCCTTAACACTTGACTACTGGGAAATGTTTAAGAAAGTTAAAGCATGTGAATTAAAAGTCTGTAGTTACCGCATAAAAGTTCTACGTGCATTAACTTTAGGAAGTCTACAGAACCACAGCATCATCCAGGATCGAAAACTCGAGATGTCTTTAGTCCAACCTCCCACTCAAAGCAGAGTCAGTTCACTCAAGGCTTTATGCAAGTCTGATTTTGAAAACCTCCAAGGATGGAGACTGTATAACCTCTCTCAGCTTAATTATTTTCACCATCAAGTTTTTTTCTCCCCTATATCCAGTCAGAACCTCCTCTGCTTCAATTTATGACTTCTATTTCTCAGTCTCCCATCAAGCACCTTAATGAAGAGCTTTGATAACCTCCTTGTAGATTTTAGATTAAGCATGCTCAAAAGCCATCTCATCTCCAGGCTGAACAAATCCACTTCTCTCAGCCACGAGACATGTGCTCCCAACCTTGGTGTCCCACCACTAGGTTTACTGAAATTAACACCAATGATTGGGAAGTGAGGGGACAGGGATTGTTACAAACTGAACAAGAGTATAAAGTCTTTCTATAAATAACTCATAGAAGTCTCACAAGTCTACAATCTTGTGGAGGATTTCTACATGGATAGACTGAAATCATTGGCTGGAAGGTCAACATAGCATTGAGCAAGTAATCCAGGGAGTTTCTAGACAATGTTGATGATAACTTCCAATTTAAAACCATTACCCCTTGTCCTGTCACTACACTTCCTGACAAAAAGTCTCTCTCCGGCTCTCCTGTAGGCTCCCTTCAGATATTGGTAGGCTGCTATGAGGTCTCCCCAGAGCCTTCTTTTCTCCAGACTGAACAACCCCAGCTCTCTCCCTCTGTCTTCATAGGGGAGGTGCTCCATCCCTCTGATAATCAAAATTACAAAGAGGGTGTAACCAATGTCTTCTCAGGAGAAGTGAATGTTAAATCAAAAGGTAACTAACTGCTATAAATTACAGCTTGGAAGGTTCAGGCTGCGTTGTGGGAGGGTAGTGAAACCCTGAAACAGGTAGCCAGGGAGGCTGTGTGTTCTCCAACCTTAGAGACTTTCAAGAAAGCTAGACAAAATCACAGCTGGCCTGAGCGGGTGTTGGCAATGGTATTGCTTCAAGAAGCAGGTTGGACAAAATTATCTGCAACCAAAATTTTTGTTTCTAAAGTAAGTTGTTGGATAAGTTCCTGAAAGAGCTCAGTTTCAGAGGGTACCATTAGAAGCAAGGATTTATTACTGGTGTGGCATTTTTTAACCAAGAATCCAAACATGCAGTCAGCACCTGAGCAAAGAATAAAAGCAATCCTTAAATCATACAAATAAGGTTTGATGTACTAATGCAGTTGTAAAGAAATCCCATCACTATATTCACCCTTTTGGCTTCAGCTTATGCATAAATCTGGCACAGAATATAAAATAGAGAAGAAAAAAAAAAAAATGTAAAAGTTAACCCAACTTTCTCATACTTCAAAATCTCCTCATCAGTTTAAGTGTGGATTGTATTTTGGAGAAAGGTTTGGAAGGAGTACAATCCTTTCTATTCAGTATAGTTTTTTCATTCTCAATGCCTATCTTCTTGGCATTTTATCCTCCTTACATCTCATTCTCATACTTCCATTATATTTGATTAGGATTTATTTCCAATTCATTAACTTATTCAGTCATGGCATAGGCAAGGAAGAATCTCTCTCTGTCCAAAGGCAAGACACAAATTCAGGGGGAGGAAACCTAAAGTGAGAGAATGTACATTTTTTAAAAAGTTACCTTCAAGTATTAATTCTGCTTTCTTTTCTTTTTTTTTTCCTCTTTTTTGGAAGGGGTGAGGGATAGCTCACTAAAATCTTTTTCAGTTGATTTACAACCCTGTTGCAGTAATTATTTCTTGTTGTTTGAACACATAGAATATTTTTGGCTACTTACTCAAAATTACATGCCATTAGTGTCAATGCATGAATCACAGTCTGAGAATCACCCACAGCTGGGCAATTGGAGAAGTACTGGACTGGAATTAGCATAATTCAACATGGAATCCAGACTTTTTTCCTTCAAGAGTTTCTTGAAACAGACATTTGCCAAATAAGAAATAAAACCGAAATATCAGTTCCAAACATTAATTTTGAGGGAGGAAAAGAGACAGGAGCAGAAGGGACCCCTAAGAGCAAGGATCTCTTTTCTTCAAGCGAGCTGAGTGGTTATGTTTATACCTTTTCACATAACCCGTCCTTTGAGTTACTCCTGTTGGCCTCATCACTTTTCCAAAACAGGTTG